TGCTGCTCTGTGTTGCCAGGAGATGAGGCCAGGGCAGGGCCAGATCATGTCATGTCCACGTCAGTCGCGGCCACAGATGCTGCTCTCTGTTGCCAGGAGATGAGGCCAGGGCAGGGCCAGATACTGTCATGTCCACGTCAGTCGCAGCCACAGATGCTGCTCTCTGTAGCCAGGAGATGAGGCCAGGGCAGGGCCAGATACTGTCATGTCCACGTCAGTCGCGGCCACAGATGCTGCTCTCTGTTGCCAGGAGTTGAGGCCAGGGCAGGGCCAGATACTGTCATGTCCACGTCAGTCGCGGCACCGGGGCCTGCTCTCTGTTGTCAGGAGATGAGGCCAGGGCAGGGCCAGATACTGTCATGTCCACGTCAGTCGCGGCCACAGATGCTGCTCTCTGTTGTCAGGAGATGAGGCCAGGGCAGGGCCAGATACTGTCATGTCCACGTCAGTCGCGGCCACAGATGCTGCTCTCTGTTGCCAGGAGAGGAGGCCAGGGCAGGGCCAGATACTGTCATGTCCACGTCAGTCGTGGCCACAGGGGCTGCTCTCTGTTTCCAGGAGATGAGGCCAGGGCAGGGCCAGATCATGTCATGTCCACGTCAGTCGCGGCCACAGATGTTGCTCTCTGTTGCCAGGAGATGAGGCCAGGGCAGGGCCAGATACTGTCATGTCCACGTCAGTCGCGGCCACAGATGCTGCTCTCTGTTGCCAGGAGATGAGGCCAGGGCAGGGCCAGATACTGTCATGTCCACGTCAGTCGTGGCCACAGGGGCTGCACTCTGTTGCCAGGAGATGAGGCCAGGGCAGGGCCAGATACTGTCATATCCACGTCCGTCGCGGCCACAGATGCTGCTCTCTTTTGTCAGGAGATGAGGCCAGAGCAGGGCCAGATATTGTCATGTCCACGACAGTCGTGGCCACAGGGGCTGCTCTCTGTTGTCAGGAGATGAGGCCAGGGCAGGGCCAGATACTGTCATGTCCACGTCAGTCGCAGCCACAGGGGCTGCACTCTGTTGCCAGGAGATGAGGCCAGGACAGGGCCAGATACTGTCATGTCCACGTCAGTCGCGGCCACAGATGCTGCTCTCTGTTGTCAGGAGATGAGGCCAGGGCAGGGCCAGATACTGTTATGTCCACGTCAGTCGCGGCCACAGATGCTGCTCTCTGTTGTCAGGAGATGAGGTTAGGGCAGGGCCAGATATTGTCATGTCCACGTCAGTCGCGGCCACAGGGGCTGCTCTCTGTTGCCAGGAGATGAGGCCAGGGCAGGGCCAGATATTGTCATGTCCACGTCAGTCGTGGCCACAGGGGCTGCTCTCTGTTGTCAGGAGATGAGGCTAGGGCAGGGCCAGATACTGTCATGTCCACGTCAGTCGCAGCCACAGATGCTCCTCTCTGTTGCCAGAAAATGAGACCAGGGCAGGGCCAGATACTGTCATGTCCACGTCAGTCGCGGCCACAGATGCTGCTCTCTGTTGTCAGGAGATGAGGCCAGGGCAGGGCCAGATATTGTCATGTCCACGTCAGTCGCTGCCACAGATGCTCCTCTCTGTTGCCAGTAAATGAGGCCAGGGCAGGGCCAGATACTGTCATGTTTACGTCAGTCGCGGCCACAGATGCTCCTCTCTGTTGTCAGGAAATGAGGCCAGGGCAGGGCCAGATACTGTCATGTCCACGTCAGTCGCGGCCACAGATGCTGCTCTCTGTTGTCAGGAAATGAGGCCAGGGCAGGGCCAGATACTGTCATGTCCACGTCAGTCGCAGCCACAGATGCTCCTCTCTGTTGTCAGGAGATGAGGCCAGGGCAGGGCCAGATACTGTCATGTCCACGTCAGTCGCGGCCACAGATGCTCCTCTCTGTTGTCAGGAAATGAGGCCAGGGCAGGGCCAGATACTTTCATGTCCACGTCAGTCGCGGCCACAGATGCTCCTCTCTGTTGCCAGGTAATGAGGCCAGGGCAGGGCCAGATACTGTCATGTCCACGTCAGTCGCGGCCACAGATGCTCCTCTCTGTTGCCAGGAAATGAGGCCAGGGCAGGGCCAGATACTGTCATGTCCACGTCAGTCGCGGCCACAGATGATCCTCTCTGTTGCCAGGAAATGAGGCCAGGGCAGGGCCAGATACTGTCATGTCCACGTCAGTCGCGGCCACAGATGCTCCTCTCTGTTGCCAGGAAATGAGGCCAAGGCAGGGCCAGATACTGTCATGTCCACGTCAGTCGCGGCCACAGATGCTCCTCTCTGTTGCCAGGAAATGAGGCCAGGGCAGGGCCAGATACTGTCATGTCCACGTCAGTCGCGGCCACAGATGCTGCTCTCTGTTGTCAGGAGATGAGGCCAGGGCAGGGCCAGATACTGTTATGTCCACGTCAGTCGTGGCCACAGGGGCTGCTCTGTGTTGCCAGGAGATGAGGCTAGGGCAGGGCCAGATACTATCATGTCCACGTCAGTCGCGGCCACAGATGCTGCTCTCTGTTGTCAGGAGATGAGACCAGGGCAGGGCCAGATATTGTCATGTCCACGTCAGTCGCGGCCACAGGGGCTGCTCTGTGTTGTCCAGTTTCATTCTCATTTGAGTATTTTAGTTTATCAAATGTATCTGTCGTATTAAAATATCTATTTACCTTAATAAATCTGTAGAATAATGAGAGTGTTGTATTTATAATTTGTGGTAAATCTTGAAAACGAATTGTAACAAATATTGAAGATTATATCGCTTTACCAACTATATTTATTTGAGGCAAACAAAACGCTATGCCTAACATATCTAAGACACATTTATTATATTAGCCTTTCTGTTTAATTAGTGAAATTTAAGCTGTATAAAGCCTGTTTCAAATGTTGCATAGAGTTGCATGGCGTACCTTTACTCCATTAATGAAAACTACCCGGTTAAGCAATTTATTTGCCTCAAACCAACATAAACGTGTTTGTTTTCCTAGCAATAAAAAAATGTTTTCATTTCGTTACATAAATTGGCTAGTGTCGTCATTCAGAGTCTGAGTGGACCCAACAATAGGCCGCTGACGAGGGATCGCTGGGAAGCTGCACAGGTGACTCGCGATTGATGGCCAATTCGATAATGGACTGTTGAATGAATTATTCAAAAACATTCCTCTTCCAAACAGCCGGCACTTAAATCTCCGCTGCATGTTCATCAGCCACTTGATTTTATTGTTGCATTGTGTAATTTGTCGTATCTATCATTGTCGGACATGTTGTCATAAAGTAGTAAGACAAGGTTGTGGATGCATTTCTGTTATTATCACCTTATACAAATTTGGATTAGTTATACTAATACATAAAAGGTTATGTGATAAGCTTTGAATGTAAAATATTTATAAGGTCCCTAAATATATAGGTAGAATAAATTAAATGTAACGTAGGAAAAATAATATGACTCATTCAAATATTATTCTTACACGAATACTATAATTCTAGTAAAGTAGGTAATAAGTATATACAAGCTATGTCAGTACTTGTATACTTACAGTAGTGCAAAACACCAATCCAGTCTCCAGGTTTGCGTTGTTTATGTTTCTGTTTCCCCACAGACATATGGGAAGTCAACATGTTACCACTTTGTTACTATTTTAGTCACTTATGCTCCAATTGACCCAGTTCAGTGTTTAGTTTGCTTTCTCGCTGTTTGTATTAGTAGCACGATAGCGCCAACAGTAGAAAATAGATATGCGTGGAAATTTTATGTACATGTCAATGAAGAAGTCGCGGACAAAACCTAGTAAGATATGGGATTTAGATACTGTAATTGTCATCGGGGACTGACTAAGGAGATCGCCCCTCACTTTGCTGGAGAAGGGGCCTACAGAGGTTCGGATTATACTAATCCTTTTATTCCACGATTAGATGTGGAAGATGTCTGTAAACCGATTATACAAGTCAGAGTCTCAGGTACACCAATGGACGGGATATGGGGAGTAAACGAATATCTAAGTAAACAATTCAACCAGTAAAATAAGTGGCAGTCGGTGTTATGTTTACTACTAAGCCGGTGAAATCGGACATACTTGCCTTAAACAAATAGGCCCGAATAATTGACATTTTAACAGTTTGTCAATGCAGATTTGTATTTTTTATAAAGAGTTATCCTTATTGCACGTTATCTTTCACGCATTAACGTGTGCTACTCTTGTTTATGTTAACAAGAGTGAAACTTCAAAATATTGTGAAATTCCTTATACTATAACCCAAGTGAGTATGTTTTATCTATGAATGTACCTACAGTATAATGAAAAGAGTAACATGTGACTGAACGGCTCATGTACGTACATGATACTAGATAATAAAACGTAATACTGTACCTATTATAAGTTTGCATACTTGAAACACAACCACGCAAACATACTAGTTTGGCCAGACATACTACTCAGGAGTGAAGACCTGTGTATTGAGGAAGGAGTGTCATAGCTTAGATGAAGTAATATAATATCACTTCTATGGTCATAGTTCAACTGCCGATTTGATATACAGTACTGGCTTGGGCTTGGGGCTTTTCTCCTTGCCTTCAAATGCCCATGTAAAGCATATTGGATAAAGAAAAGCATTTTTATTGACCTTCGTGGTAATATAAAGCATAATAGATGTTTAAATTTGTATATCCGGCATTTCATAAAAGCTATTGGCAAAATTCTTATATATTTTTCAGTAGTTCTACAGTATTACATTTTTCGATTTTGCGTTCTGTTCAGTTGTGTGACACACTGCATTTGTTTATGTGAACTACAAAATGGAAAGACAATGAGATCTGTTTGAGGTTTTGGTTTTACCTATTTAGCTCCTACATCTTCAGAGGTATTATTTGCCACGTCATTTTCTCAATTTATCAGTGTTTTACCGTGATATTCTAACCAAAGTGGCATTTAATTTACTTATTACATGTAATAATAATTTTTTGTACATGTGCAGTTAGATTTTAAATTGTCTGAATTTGTTAATTTGCTTAATTACTTTGACTTAATGTTGCCATTTTATGTTTCAGATCACATTGGCAGCTAGTTTTAGTTCTATTCGCATTCACTGGTCTTACCACCGCCAGAAGGGTAAGTCAACTGATTTGATGTTATTTCTATCTTAATGTTGCAATTAAGGACGACTGCGTCAGGAACGCAATAAATATAAAACAATGACTTAGGAGGCACAAATAGGTGATCCAATCAATGAATGGATAGAGCTTATTTAAATTTCTATGATTTGATATGGTCAGATAAGTCTGGGACCACCCGAAACCTATTGAGGCAGTAATTAGGCGATGGGATACCTCATAAATCGGAGCACGACCTCGCCACAGCGTGTGGGTGAAGGGGGGGAACAACTGGACTAGGATTGGACATTAGTATAATATAATCGTGGATTAAAACAGAAATTTACGAAAAGTGATGTATGTCAAGCAATCATAGTGGCTTTTAAATTTCATTATAGGCCTACAGTGTGTACATGTTATAAAAACAGATTATTTTATTTTGTACGCCAAATGAAACGGTAACTACAAACTCTTTCTTGATGTACCGTATCCAAATAGTACACGTTTTGGAAATTTGCGGATGACTGTACAATACATAACCTGATCGGATGTTTCTCATTAAAGTATAGTAGGATGGCATAAGCTTTAATGATATCACGAACCAGCAAGATTGGGTAATGGGACCAAGGTGTTATTTGGTTGTAGGATGGCATACACTTGAATGAGATCACGAACCAGCAAGATTGGGTAATGGGACCAAGGTGTTATTGGGTTGTAGGATGGCATACACTTGAATGAGTTCACGAACCAGCAAGATTGGGTAATGGGACCAAGGTGTTATTGGTTTGTAGGATGGCATACACTTGAATGAGATCACGAACCAGCAAGATTGGGTAATGGGACCAAGGTGTTATTGGGTTGTAGGATGGCATACACTTGAATGAGTTCACGAACCAGCAAGATTGGGTAATGGGACCAAGGTGTTATTGGGTTGTAGGATGGCATACACTTGAATGAGATCACGAACCAGCAAGATTGGGTAATGGGACCAAGGTGTTATTGAGTTGTAGGATGGCATACACTTGAATGAGTTCACGAACCAGCAAGATTGGGTAATGGGACCAAGGTGTTATGGGGTTGTAGGATGGCATACACTTGAATGAGTTCACGAACCAGAAAGATTGAGTAATGGGACCAAGGTGTTATGGGGTTGTAGGATGGCATACACTTGAATGAGTTCACGAACCAGCAAGATTGGGTAATGGGACCAAGGTGTTATGGGGTTGTAGGATGGCATACACTTGCATGAGTTCACGAACCAGAAAGATTGAGTAATGGGACCAAGGTGTTATGGGGTTGTAGGATGGCAAACACTTGAATGAGTTCACGAAACAGCAAGATTGGGTTATGGTAATGGGACCAAGGTGTTATGGAGTTACAGGGTGGCATAATCAATATATAACTACTACGGACGTAGTAGTTATATATCGATGGGTGGCATACACTTGAATGAGATCACGAACCAGCAAGATTGGGTAATGGGACAAGGTGTTATGGGGTTTCGATGTTTTTTGGTATTTTTATCTTTAAACAATATAATGCCCAATTTTCATTACAATTTTGCATATAGCTAAAAAACTAGTTTTTGTACTGAAGCTTGTTGTACGTTTGTAGTTTATGGAGATAATTCCGAAAACTGTAAGTTGAAAATATTCATGTTATTCTTATAGGCCCTAGAGAAAAACTGTCGTAGTTTGCTTGTAGATGAATATATTTTAATAAAATTTGGCAAATTAATTTACTTCATCCTGTACTATAGAATTTTTATCCAAAAACACTTTTCCCTCTTTTGTTGCAGCAAACCTAAGTATTCATAAATCCATTGTTTCAGTATTTAAGTCGAAAAAACTGACATTTTAAAGTAATATTTTAGTAAAGATTTAATCATGCTAATGGAAATTCGCTCCAACTGCAGGTTTGCTATGACGGTGGTATTGATGATTAATGATGTTTTCTTTCCCAATCAGCTAAAAATATTACTGACAAAAAGTTTTTTGACAGTTTCCCCACGAATTCTAGAACTACCTGATACCCGACAAATAGTATTTTGCACACCTCTCAAATCTGTTAAAAATCATACACAACTATGATGAAAATAACCTACTATATTATCAATTCAATAATTGATCAATTCAATCAACTATAATTACGACATTACATATTCATTTTATCTATGAACTAGCTGTACCCGCGGGCTTTGCCCCGTTTAACTTCTTAATTTTCAAATCACGTCCTGGTTGAAGTTCGTTCGCCACGCTCACTCACTTTTAGGTTGGAGCTCGTTCGCTGCGCTCACTTGCCTTCAGGTTAGCTCGTTCGCTACGCTAACTCGCCTTTAGGTTGAAGTTCGTTCGCTACGCTCACTCATCTTTTGGTTACAAATTAGCTGTTGTCATTAATTTAAAAAAATAATAGTGCTGCACCCTGTTGGTAATCCTTGTAATGCTATTGCACATCATAGAACAGGACCAACTTGTTTAATTAAAACAGCTGTTAAGATTCATTAATTCCATTTAAATATAATAAGGTTATAATAAGGCTCATAAGGTTAACATGGGAAACTCCAGAGCCACTGGGGCGGAGCCCGAGAGTCCGATCAGAATAAAAACTACTTAGTTTTCCTATTTAATGCCTAAACAATCAGTGTACCAAATTTCAGCCTCCTAGGTAAATGGGAAGTGGGAGAATTAGTGATGAGTGAGTGAGGGCTTTGCCTTTTATATACCTATATAGATAGGCCTACATACTGTCCGTGCTCTCCTACCATCATTAATTGGTTGCTCTTGTAGTCCAACCTCATCAATATGCACCTCACTCTCAGCTGATTGATTTCAGTTAGGTCATTTAATAATAAATACTGGCATTTAGTCGGCTCACAATAGCCACTGTCTTGTCCGTCTTAATACGCTTCTTAGTCATTCATCCGTTATTATACTCTGCGGGCCGATGAAAAATGTGATAAACAACGGAACGATGGGTAAAGTCTTAAGTTAGAAATTCCCATCAGAGTTATCCAATAGTAATTATCAATGTCTTTTTTTTTAGTTTACACTGTCTGAACAAGCTTAAACCACCAATGGAAAGAAAGGCATGCTCACACAAATACTTTTAAACCGTGTAAAAATGAATCTGTAGAAATTTAAATGTTATCAGTTGTTCTTAAGGGGCTAATTTGTTGACTGAATTTAACGCTTTGTGATTATGTATAGACTAGCTGTACCCGCGGGCTTTGCCCCGTTTTACTTCATAAGTGAGCTCGTTCGCATGGTTTAATCACGTCCTGGTTGAAGTTCGTTCGCTACGCTCCCTCACCTTTAGGTTGGAGCTCGTTCGCTGCGCTCACTTGCCTTCAGGTTAGCTCGTTCGCTACGCTAAATCGCCTCCAGGTTGAAGTTCGTTCGCTACGCTCACTCACCTTTTGGTTGCATATTAACTGTTGTCATAAATTAAAAAAAAGTAATAGTCCTGCACCCTGTTGGTAATCCTTGTAACTTGAATGCTATTGAACATCATAGAACAGAACCAACTTCTTTAATTGAAACAGCTGTTAAGATTCATTAATTCCATTTAAATATAAAAGCCACTGGGGCGGAGCCCGAGAGTCCGATCAGAATAAAAACAGCTTAGTTTTTCTATTTAATGCCTAAAAAATCAGTGTACCAAATTTCAGCCTCCTAGGTAAATGGGAAGTGGGAGAATTAGTGATGAGTGAGTGAGTGAGTCAGTCAGTCAGTGAGGGCTTTGCCTTTTATATATATAGATGGCTACACAATAACAAGAAATTTGACTATACATATAATATGTCCTCTTGTGGCATAATTATTGATTATTATGCTACGTGTGTTTTATGACAATCTACGAGACAATGTCTGAGACTAAAACAGATACCAAACCATTGGTTTATTTTTGTTGTTATTTTAATGCTTCGCCAAAGGGGAAAATAGAAATGGCAGCACATAGACACAAGGCATATGAATGGACAATGCGATCATCATACCCAAGGCAGGAGACACTCAGAGAAGTACTTATTATACTAGGCTAAACTATATAGGTAAACTAACACATATACCCAGTGTATATATACTGGTATTCACATATACACTCCCCACCGCGCCGCTCTATTACCGGACAATACACAACACAGAAGACATACAGAGGCTGCATATAGACACGAGGTATATCATATACGTAAACTAAGACATACACCCAGTGCAATACACATTCACAGACGAAGGTTTGTCCATTCATCAAACAGTGATCTGATTATACACCTTGGGCAGACACTCCTCACCGCACCGCTCCATTACCGGGCAATACACAACACAGAAGACATTCAGAGGCTGCATATAGACACGAGGTATATCATATACGTAAACTAACACATACACCCAGTGTAGCACACATTCACAGACGAAGGTTGGTCCATTCATCAAACAGTGATCTGATTATACACCTTGGGCAGACACTCATCACAGCGCCGCTCGATTACCGGGCAATACACAACACAGAAGACATACAGAGGCTGCATATAGACACGAGGTATATCATATACGTAAACTAACACATACACCCAGTGCAGCACACATTCACAGACGAAGGTTGGTCCATTCATCAAACAGTGATCTGATTATACACCTTGGGCAGACACTCCTCACCGCACCGCTCCATTACCGGGCAATACACAACACAGAAGACATACAGAGGCTGCATATAGACACGAGGTATATCATATACGTAAACTAACACATACACCCAGTGCAGCACACATTCACAGACGAAGGTTGGTCCATTCATCAAACAGTGATCTGATTATACACCTTGGGCAGACACTCCTCACCGCACCGCTCCATTACCGGGCAATACACAACACAGAAGACATACAGAGGCTGCATATAGACACGAGGTATATCATATACGTAAACTAACACATACACCCAGTGCAGCACACATTCACAGACGAAGGTTGGTCCATTCATCAAACAGTGATCTGATTATACACCTTGGGCAGACACTCCTCAC